GTTGTCGCATATCCAGTGTGTAGTCTTAGTTATCTCAAACTGGCACTGTTGGGTTTTTTTTCCTAGTTGTATGATTCTTACGGTTTCATCATCTTATTAAAGAAAAACAACATTTTTTTCTCTTTTCCCATATGTGGCCAGAAAAATATGAAGAATAAACATTTAAAAAAAACACAAAACTTTGGGGGAGATCTGGTGGCCTAGTGGCAAAAAGCTGTACTGCAATCCCAAAGGCACACAGTTTGAATCCATCAGATGCTCTGCCGAAGAAGGAGGGACAATTTCCTCCTGTACCAGTCAGATCTGATTTGACGGTACATGCACAAAAAAAATAATTTAAAAAATTTAAAAAAACAAAAACAAAAAAAACCTTTATGAAAGATTGAAACATTTCTTTAAGTCCAGGGTTTTCATAAAAATAAGGTGCTTCAAACTTGAAATAGTGGATATAAAATGTTTTGAAAAAATATTCTCAATTATTACATTTTCTTTTACTAATCAATCAATTAGTATGATAGATTTATAACCTTAGACCTAAAAGAAGCTTGAATATTTTCTTCCCTATATAATATGAACATATTTTCTATTGCAGGTACAGAGTAAATTAATGATTTATTACTTGGACATTTTAGATGTACAATGCAGTGAATTACTGTAACATACCCCTTTTAGTCATAATCTTGTAAATAAAAAAAAGGTTGAATAGGAATATGCAAATAAGGTGCCCTAGCTAAGAAAAATAATTAGACAACCTACTTTGATTTCATACCACCTGAATTTCAGAATCATCTCAGGAACAGGTTTGAGGCCTTGAACACTAATGAGCGAAGACCAGACGAGTTGTGGGAGGATGTCAATGATATCATTCAGGAAGAGTGTAAACGGTCATTACAAAGACAGAAGAGGAAGAAAAGACCAAAATGGATGTCAGAAGAAACTCTGAAGATTGCACTGGAGCATAGAGAAGCCAAAGCACAAGGAAGAATTCAAGATACTAAAGAGCTGAACAGAAGATTCCAAAAGGCAGCTCGGAATGACAAAGCAAAATAATACAATGAAATGTGCGAGGAGCTAGAGTCAGAAAATCAAAAGGGCAGAACTCTCTCAGCATTTCTTAAGCTCAAGGAACTGAAGAACAGATTCAAACCTAGAGTTGCTGAAATCAAGGATGCTTTGGGCAGAATATTAAATGATCCAGGAAGTAGTAAAAGAAGATGGAAGGAATATACTGAGTCATTATATAGAAAGGAATTAGCAGATACAGAGGAATTTAAAGAAATAACATATGAGCAAGAGCCTATGGTGATGAAGGAAGAAGTTCAAGCTGCTTTGAAGGAAATAGCAAAAAATAAGGCCCCAGGAATAGATGGTATACCAATTGAAGTATTTCAGATAACAGATATTGCCCTGGATGTGCTCACCAAGTTGTGCCAAAAAATCTGGAGAACAACCACTTGGCCAACTGACTGGAAGAGATCTATATTTGTTCCCATTCCAAAGAAAGGTGACCCAACTGAGTGTGGAAACTACAGAACAGTGTCATTGATTTCACATGCAAGCAAAATTCTACTGAAGATTATCCAAAAACGATTAGAACAGCACATCAGCAGAGAACTGCCAGAAGTCCAGGCTGGGTTTAGAAGGGGTCGTGGTACTAGGGATATTGTTGTTGATGTTAGATGGATCTTGGCTGAAAGCAGAGAATACCAGAAGAATGTCTATCTGTGTTTCATTGATTATGCAAAGGCATTTGACTGTGTGGATCATGACAAACTGTGGCTGACTCTGAGAAGAATGGGAATCCCAGAACATTTAATTGTGCTAATGCGAAACCTACACTTGGACCAAGAGGCAGTAGTCAGAACAGAGCAGGGTAACACTGCATGGTTCAAAATTGGGAAGGGTGTACGCCAGGGATGCATCCTGTCTCCATACTTTTTCAACATGTATACAGAGCAGATTATCCGAGAGGCTGGGCTCTATGAGGAGAATTGTGGCATCAGGACTGGTGGAAGATCTACTAACAATCTCCGTTATGCAGATGACACAACCCTGCTTGCTGAAACTGAGGAGGACCTCATGCACTTGCTGCGGAGGGTCAAGGACTGCAGCCTTCAGTGTGGACTAAGGCTCAATGTCAAGAAGACAAAGATTCTCACCACTGGACCAATTGGCAGCATCAGGATGGATGACGAAGAGATTGAGAGTGTTCACAGCTTCAGTTTGCTCGGTTCCACAGTCAACACTCTTGGCACCAGCAGTCAGGAAATCAAAAAGTGTATCGCGATGGGAAAGTCTGCTGTTAGGGACCTCTCTAAGGTACTCAGGAGCAACAGTGTCTCTCTGGAGACTAAGGTGTGCCTGATACAGGCCATGGTATTTGCAATCGCTTGTTATGCATCAGAGAGTTGGACAATGAGTAGGGAGGACAGAGGGAGAGTGGATGCTTTTGAGCTGTGGTGCTGGAGAAGGGTACTGAATGTACCCTGGACTGCCAGGAAAACAAACAGATTTATGTTGGAGAGGGTTAAACCAAGCTACTCCTTGGAAGCAAGGATTCTGGGCTTCGTCTGACATACTTTGGACATGTTGCCAGGAGGGACGGGTCCTTGGAGAGGGACATCATGCTTGGGAGGGTGAAGGGACAGCGCAGGAGGGGAAGACCCTCTATGAGATGGATTGATTCGGTGACTGGGGTAATTGGGATGGGTGTGTCAGAGGCGGTGCGGTTGGCACAGGATAGAGCAGGGTTTAGGGCTGTTGTGCATAGGGTCACTATGAGTCGGAAACGACTCGATGGCACATAACAACAACAACAAACTATTGCTTATAAGATACAAGGAATTCCTGTTGGAGGTGAGATTGTGCAAAATAAAGCATATTAGAAGGTTGGTCAGTTTTACCATCCTACTAGGTTTTAAACTAGTTAAGCCTAAACTAAAGGCTTTAAGCACTTTTCTAATCTCAGGAAGAGGAACCAAGATCAGAGAATGTCCTGTGACCAATGGATCTGTACTAAGAACATTCTAGATCTGAAAGACTAAGAAAAGCAACTGTGACACTGAAGGGATGAGGCACAGCAGTAGCAAGAAGCAGTGAGACACATATCCAGTAGCAGAGAAATAGCAGCAGCAGAGCCAGTTCAGTGGGTGGCCCTGATGTCACAGAGCATTGTTGTGAAGGTCAGTTGTTAGAAGCCACCTGCAGGAGAAAGATGGGCAAAGATTTGTAGCCTTAGAATCACTCTAAGTCTGAATCAGCTCCATGGTGGTGGACTTTCTGTTTTTTTATTTTGGGAGATTTTGTTTTGTTGGTTGATTATATGAAATTAATCGAGGAACCCTAACATCATTTCATTTTTAGATTTCCCCACAAAACTTTTTCTACTACAAAAAGGTAACCTGTATATTGATATTTTATCAAATCACTGGTAATTTCTATGGTTTTCATTTTTTAAAATATTTCCTTTTTAATTATGATTATTTAATGAACATTTACAGAGATTTTGGATTTCCATTCATTCATTGTTGCACTTTTCTCCCCACCTCCCCCACCCCGAGTTCGCTCTTCTCTTTGAAAGGTAAAAGAAAAATTCCTTCATTGGTACACAACCCTACCCACCCCCACCCCCCTAATGTATACTCCACTCTGCAACCTTCATTCCGGACTCTTATGATAATCATAATACCCTATAATATTTTGCTTTTAAACTGTTCTCTCCCTCATCTGTCTCAATGCAGTATACATAAGTTATCCAGTTTTTCACATTCTTACCCCAACCCTGATGTCAGTCCCATTCTACAGCAGTGGCACTATGCAGTGTTTGTCCTTTTGTGATTGAGCTATTTCACTCAGCATAATGTCCTCGAGGGTCACCCATTTTGAATAATATTGCATGAGTTCCTTGTTTTTCAATGCAGCATAGTATTCCATTGTCTGAATATACCACAGCTTCTCTATCCATTCATTTATTGATGGGCACTTAGGTTGTTTCCAACTCCTTGCTATTCTGAACAAAGCTGCGATAAACATTGGTGTGCATATAGCTGCTTGAATGGCGGTTATGGTCTCTTTAGGGTATATTCCCAGTAGTGGGATTGCTGGGTCAAATGGTATCTCTATTTGCAACTTTTTGAGAAAGCGCCACACCACTTTCCACAGTGGTTGCACCATTTCATTTTAAAAAATGAATCTCTGTGCTGTAGGAAATAGCTGAGATGTTTGATTGTGTGAGAGACTGCTGGAAGGGGTAGGGACTACTGGTAAAGGAGGGAGACTGGGTGCTTTAGTTACCAGGCAATGTTTTTTCCATGTTTCCTCTGTGTTTTATCTGCCTGCCATGAAAACCCACAAAGCACCTCTGAGCAAAGCCCAGTCCAGAATGAAAGTCCTAGAATCCTCCATGTGATGAATGAAGATGTTTAGCAGCAACTCCCACTTTGATGTCAGCTGCCCAGTGACTGGGTACTGAAGGTTTGGGGTCATGAGTTCCTTCAGGACATTGACCTTCACTTACCTTGTTTATGTGCTCAGTTGGAGACTTTGTCTGCAAAACCATCAAGTGAGACATTTCAAAAGTTACAACACAAAACCATTGCCAATGTGTCTTTATTTCCAGTTATACATTTATTTTCACATCAAAATCTATTTGTAAGCATTCACAAGACAGCCATGAATACCAAAACCCATGCAAACTCAGAAGAAAGCCCACAAGAAGAGCACAGGACCTAGCAACCTCTGGTGAGTGGACTCAGCAGGTTAGCTGAGTCTCACAGGGAAAAAGGAGCACAGCCATTGCCGGGGCAGGGAGATGGGACACTGTTTTCAGTGAGGTGGGAGGATACTGTGTCATTGGAATAAAAGCCTCTCTTGTCCACCCTTGCCTGAGGTTACTACATCATTTTGTTTGGTGTACCTACTTTATCCTCAAGAGCAGAGCACAAAAAAAATTTAAAATAAATAAATAAATAAAAATAAAAAATAAAAAAAAAAAGAGCAGAGCACAGATGCGGTTCTACTAGCAAGAGCACAGGAGCATAACAAGGGCAAAGGGCAAAGCTGGCTAGGAATTACGGGTTGATTTTTAGTCCAAGACACAAAGCCAGCTCAGTCTTCTGAATCTTTCCGTCCTTATTGACATCACAGTGGCGCAGGAGGATCTCCCGAAATTTGTCAAGGTCCACCCCGCTGATGCTGGGCTGAAGGGGGGAAAAAAGGTGACTAGAAAAACTGTCCTCCCTTGTTGATATTTGCTAAATGTAGGGGATGTACACAAGAGCTTTGGCATAGTCTGTATGTTAACCCAAAGGCAGCACCTTTCTGGTAGTTCAAACCCACCAGCGTCTCCGGGAGAAAGAAGGGTAATTTCCCCCTTTGTGAATTGCAGCCTCTGAATACCCTCTGGAAGTTCAGCTGTCAGTTGTGACTCAAAGGCAGTGAATTAGGGGCTGCCAAATCTTCTGACTAAGCATTGAAGGTGACAGGCCATGGGGGAGTGGCTTCGCCCCACCAAGTGTTTAACCAATGGGTTAATTTCTCAGCATGTCCCTTCAGGTGAGAGAATTTCAATTTCCACATCACTTCCCTGTGGTTCTTAGAGATAACCTACCTTATTAGTATCTGTAATAAAAATATTTTGCCTCAAAGCAGAAAATCATGATCACCAATCCTGTCTTACTACACTGCTGGCAGAAGACACATTTTATTATCTCTCTGTGGGAGGTTTACATGCCTGTGGTCTCAAAAAGAGCTATCCTAAGTGGAAATCTAACTATTGTGTTGTGGAGTGGGAAAATAGGATTTATTCTAAAGAATAGTTTAGGGGCTGAAGTGAAATTATGATGCATGTTAGCAAAGGAAAATATTGTAAACTCTAAGCTTGCTAAAGTTAGTAATATTAAGTATTTCAATATAAGTGATTTCATTGCTGTTAGGTGCCATCAAGTTGACTATGACTCATAGTGATCCTAAGAAAAACATATCTGACCCTTTCCCTGGAAGATATAGCTTAGTCCATAGGGAGTCTCACTGTAAACCCAAAGGCAGGTCTCCCTGCAGCTGTACTCCACTCTGGCTCTACAGGAGAAAGATGAGCAGCTCCTCCTGTGCAATTGGCAGCCTCAGAAACTCAATGAAGGATTCACTATGACTTGGTTCCAACTCCACAGCAATGAATTAGGAGATAATTCCTAGATTAGGAGCTGGAGACTCATATGAGCTTAAACATTTTGTCAAGTTAGACACAAATATAAGCCTTAACCCACTTTTGACTCCCATTAAATACCTACTATTAAATTCTACTATTTCACACTGTTCTCCAGAAGAAAACAGTTTATTGAAACTGTATGAGAGTAGACGGTCAATGTACAGAGAGAAGAAAAAAACCCAACTGACCACTTTCCCAAGCTCCTTGATTATCAAACTAGATTGACAAAGGAGGCAGTGGCCGGCAGGACTTGAATTCAAGAAGCTTGGTGACGGGTGAGACTGTGTTCCCAAAAAGAAAAATAAATTGAAGTCCTAATCATTAGAAAATAAGATTTTTAAAATGTTATCACTTAGCATGAGGTTAAATGGAGTAAAGAGGGTCATATATAATTCAATATAAGAATAGCAGTCAGTACACGCAGACCATGAAGATATGTCAGGCTTGGTTTCATACAACTTCAAGAAAACTAGTATTGCTAGAAAATTAGTCACTTTATTTGTTTTGTTTCGTTTCCTAGTGGATATAAAACTTATGCTTGCACTGCACGGCACTGCATTGCACTGCACTGCAGTCTCTTTAAGTATTCAACTGCCTGATGGAAAAGTTTCAAATGTGAGAATGACCAAAATGTGACACAAGGTAAGCAGATGCTGTTAGAAAAATGATTTTGAAATATTTGCTTGATACAAAGTTGCCACCAATCTTCAACTTATTTAAAAACAAAACAAAAATCTCTAAAGTACAATAAAGTGAGGTAAGCCTGAAGTGTTAAAAAGATAAATACAGAGAAACAGGAAAAGGCAGTCTAGTGAAGACTAAGAGAGAGATTGCAGCTATGCATTGATAAACCATGGAACACCAAGGAACACCTGATACAGCCAGGAGTTAGGAAAAGACAAGAGAGGGCCTTCCCTAGAACCTTCACAGAGGATATGGCCCTGACACCTAATTCTTTCAAACTTCCAGCCTTCAGTCTTGTGAGAGAATAATTGTCCATTATTGTAAGCCGCCTAGTTTGTGGTGATACATTATGACAGTTCTGTTGTTGTTGGGGGCCATCAATTCAGAACTGATGCATATCTGAGCCTCCGTAGGTTTTATACAAGAGACTGTCTATCTTCCTTCCATGGAGCAGCTGGTGGGTTTAAGCCTCGTGCTTTTGAGCTGGCAGTGCACTTCCTCACCACTAGCTATCTACTAATACATTTGGGAAACAAATATATTTGGGAAATATTTTCTATCACTCAGGTCTATCCTAAAGTTTCCTTATTTCCAGAAATATCTCTAACAAAAACTTTCAAAAAGGGGGTGGGAAAAGCCTTTTTAATTCCTCAACTAAAGATACAACCTTGCTTGCTGAAACTAAGGAGGACCTGAAGCGCTTGCAGTAGAAGGGCAAGAACTATATAGTCTTCAGTATGGATTGAAGTTCAACATCAAGAAGACAGATTCCACCAGTGGATCATTTGGCAGCACCATGATGGATGGAGAAGAGATTAAGGTTGTTAACAGCTACAGCTTGCTCGGCTCCACAATCAACACTCTTGGCATCAGCAGTCAAGAAATCAAAAGATGAGTTGCAATTGGTAAATCTGCTGTCAGGGACCTCTCCAGAGTACTGAGAAGCAGCAGTGTCAGTCTAGAGACTAAGGTGCACCTGATCCAGGCCATGGTTTTCACTATTAGTTGCTATGCATCAGAAAGCTAGACAATGACTAAGAATGATAGAAGAAGAATTGATGCCTTTGTGATTCTGGAGAAAAGTCTTGAACATACCATGGACTGCCAAGAAAGCAAATAGGTCTATCTTGGAGAGTATGAAACCAAGTTTTTCCTTGGAGGCTAGGATTTTGAAGTTCCATCTCACATACTTTGGGCATGTAGCCAGGAGGGACTGATTCTTGGAGAAGGATATCATGCTCGAAAGGCTATAGGAACATTAGGAGAAGAAGACCCCTGATGAGATAAATTGATACAGTAACTAGGGTAATGGAGGTAGGTGTGTCCATGTTAGTGAGACTGGCTCAGGACAGGGCAGGTTTCAGAGCTGTTGTACATAGGGTTGCTATGAGTTGTAGGTGACTCAACGGCACATAACAACAACAAAGATCAAATGAAGAGACAACAAGCCATTTTATACTCTGAATGGCTAACTGAATGACATGAAATCTACCCTGACAACAAGCAAACAACAAGCAAAAGAAGGAACAAAGTTAGCAGGAAATGGGAGCCAGTTGGCAGAGTAGGAGAATAAACACCATAATGGGGCTGAATTCAGAAGATTGTCAGGAGGAAAAGACTCTTGAACCAGAAGAAAAATTTGGCCAACTCCTCTGTGGAGAAAACCCTGAATTATTGGACCTTTAGGCCAAGATGGAACCCACAGGTAATAGGTTCCCTTTGTTGGGGATTCACAAAGGATCGTTTCCTGAGTGGCAATACCAGACCAATGTAGGTGTGACCCAAGAAAGCATGGCCCAGACATCCTGAAAACAACAAGCTGTACTCTGAGACCCAGTGCTTTAGGAAATTTCTTTGTTACACAATTGTAAGGTGATGGTGGTGAGTAGGGGAGAAGGTAAAGGTTTAGTCCTCAACCAAGTGTTGAGGGAGCTCTGGTGACCTAGTGGCAATCCTGAAGGCATGAAGTTCAAGGCCACCAGCCACTTTACAGGAGAATGATGAACAATCTCCTCCTGTGCAATTAACTGCCTCTGAAAACCCACCAGCGGGTCAGATGGGTGGGTTCTAACTCTATGGTACACAACAACAAACCACTTGTTTACATATTTTTCTCCATTAATTGACTCTTGGTACAAGATCCTTTTGGTAAAACCCAAGTTGTTGTTGTT